AAAAAAGTCGCTGCTTTGCCTTCGTGCAAGGTATTAAGTGTCCGATTCAGCACTTGGACCGGGCAGATCAGCTTTCTGGGAGAAATCTGTAAACAACCGTGACCATTTCAGTCACTTTTGGGAGAGAGCGGAGATGTTGTCGAGAAATGGACGGAGTTGCCATTTACAAGTTATTGTGCAGGTACTGTAGTTTTGCAATGAAGACAGCAGACTAGGCATGCCAGGGAGCTTTTGCAGGAATTCACACGTTATTTCTAGTTTCTTTTTTCCCAAAGATTCTGATGTTCTTAAATTACCACCGTCTGATCCATTCAGAAATTATCTGTGTGGGAATGAACTGCATTGGAGCCAATTACAAGCCATCAAACACTGTAAATTAAATCTTACATTTATATATTTTTTTTAAAATTAAACTTTACATTTTCTGTATTTCCTGCCTCAAAACCTTCCAATAGAATTTCTATTTTTATCTATAGATCATTCTTATGTACATTCTAATTTATAGCTTTTTCCATGAATGAATCTATATTCATCATTTCATGCCATTTTCAAGTGGATTAACACCCAAACTTTCTGCCAAAGATTTTCTCGCATTCTAAAGCTCAGCAAACACCAAATGAACAATTGACATAGCCTGCAAAAGCGTTTATTCCGGTTTATGGTTTTACATCTCTCATACACAGTGTAAAGGACCCAAGCATGAACTTCCATCCAATGTAACCAAATTTATTTGTTTTCCGCTGAAACACAACAGCACTGACTTGAGGACAAGAAGCCCGCATAAAATTCCAAGTCCCTCTCCTCATTCTACTGGTGATATTTGTTACTCTCTTCGTTCCCCCGTATGGAATGAAAATTTGCATGACAACGTACATATACCGGTAAATATCACTGTGTGTATATCAAAAAGGTGATCGGATGCCGTGGGGGGGGGGGAAATAACCTGTCATGAAAACCAGGAAAGCATTTGTCAACCCACATATGTGCACATATCCAGTGCCCGTCGATTGTAATCAACAGGATCAATGCCAATCATCACCCAAATGATTCTTCATGACAGGTTGCATTCTCACACCCCCCCCCCGCTTAAATATCCACGGGCCATTCACCGGTGGCCGTGCATAAACGGCAGCCGCATAAACGACACACATTGACTACAGCAAGCAGCGCACGTACACGGGAAAAATGATCCGACCTCAACTATTAACTAGGAGCTCTAAGCACATGGGTAATATTCCGGGGGGGGAAGGTACAGGTACCGTCACATGATGGAATTGAGTCTAATTTCAAAATCTGGTCATAGGCATGATGACAAGAATTGAATAAATTCAGTTTTGCGCTCGCACGAGGGAATAGGTAAAAACATTGAGCATTCGGGATATCCAGTCACAATAGGTTTTTTTCCTCCTCAGGAAAAGAAATTTAATGGCACTGAGTCGATGATTAGATTCATAGCCATTAATCAAAATATCAAGACATGTAATACTGCATGACATTTTGAAAATGTTTGTGCTGCACATGGTGCAAAGGATCAAATCACAAGCAAAAAAAAGTTGAAAGCAGTGCTGTTTGGAAAATAAATATGCATGAAGGTATTGAGGAGTTAATTTTTTTTCAGCATTTCCTTACGATGAACAAACTGTCATCTGTTCTTTGAATTGAATGATTTCTCACAAATTGCAGTGCCTTTTTTGTTCGATGCTTCATTTTAAAGTCACTGTTGAGTCCGTTCTGAATAAGAACACCCACAAAAACACTCAAGTTTTACATGGTGCAAGTTGTTTACACGGAATTTTTCCCTACATAAAATTATTTTTCTGATTGAGATCTTCCGCATTTGCCAGGTAGATTATTCCCCTGATTAACAAACTTGGTTGGCATTGGATATTTAAAGCAACCTGCCTGTATATTGTTCTCTGCCACTACCTCCATCTCAGTAGCTGTCGACCGTACCGGTAACCAGTAGTTTCCCCGGTATCCAGTATCAAGTTTCCACTGGTCAGTAAAAAGCACTGTTCATTACTACAGGGCTCCCGCGCGAGATATTTTTTTAATACCTGATCCGTTGCCGTAGTTGCCAATTCTCACTCGGTCACATTGTGATGGGATTGTCCTTTGTTCCACTTTGTGCATCTTTCCTCTGTTGTCCGATAATTGGATGCGGAATTCTTGCATGTCGGAATGAAAGAAATAACAACAGTTTGCCATCATCATAAGTAAAGTAGGCTCCTTGTTGAACCAAATAAACCACAAAGTGGAAGATGATCAGGTTTAAATTGTTGCCAGTCTATCTTTCTGTTGTGTGCACTGTCAGTATTGTCGTTAGTATTTAATGCATTTGAACTGAGGGTGGGAATTTACGTGTAATTTGAAAATATTTCCCGTACCGTTGAAATGCTAAAACATGTAAACGTCCCACCCTTGAACCAAGTGAGCACACCAATATTTCACAGGTGTCTGGGAAGTGACATCCAAATAGAAATGTGAGTAGCATGCCTGTGAGGGGTCCAGACCCCGGGTTTGTTTATTTTTATTTCAATTTGTGACAGATTTTAATAAGGGAAGTGCCTGAACAGATTTTGCTGGGGACATACCGTACTGTAAGGTTTTTTGGATGCTTCGGATCAGAAATGGGGGAAATAAATGATCGAAAAATCTAAAAGAGGAATTATGATATTGAAATTTCCTTAGTAAAATTGAAGATTTTAAATTGGCAGTTGAAGTACGAGAACCCCTGTAATTTTTTTCCTTCTGTTTCTGTTTTTTTTTTTTTTTACTTAAGCATGTGCTTGAGCTTCCAGGCCTGTTGGTAATGTTATTACTGCTGCACACAGTGCATATCTTTTAAGTTAACGCTGTCTAATGTGGCCGCAGCAAGTGCGTATTCCTGGCACGTTTGTCTCGTCATCGATACTCCGGCAGCTTCAGCCCGCCCGTCCTTTTCCCAGGTCTGTCGCTCACCGGAGTGTAATTGAACAAATCAGGGTCAGCGGATAATAGATTCTTTAAAGGCTCCTGCGCATCACAGGTTCCAAGTGGAGCCGATTGGGCAGCATCTTACATGCTTGGATGACATCGTTTAGTCCCAATGCCTTGCCATCTTTGTTCCTGTACTCATGCTCAAGGTTTTATAGAAGGTAGCACATCCACTGACAATGTAGACATGTTCGTGTATGAGTACATCACTATATGCAAATGCCCATTAAAGCGTTGCTTGCTTGTAGGAGACATTCTCTTTGCTTAAATTGCATTGTTTGAAAAATCAGGGAAGAAACTCATTTTACTCACACTGCGATTACACTTCAGTGTTGTGGCGGGTCTCAAAATTTGGTGACTCGAGTCGAGTCATTTTAACATTGTGACTCGAGTCATTAAGTCAAGAAGTCGAGTTGAGTCGCTTTGTGCAGTCGTGTCGAGTCAAATACCGAGCTCAAGTCAATTTGAGTCACAAATTTTTGAACAAAATATACTAAAACACCTACATGTATGTCATTTTTTGGGTATTTTTATTTTCATTTAGATATACTGAAAATAAATTAGGGTGACAGGTATCTAGCTAACTAAAATTTTGCTTTTTTGAGACTTGAGTCATAAGCTTGTACTCAAGTCGAGTCCTCACATCATCACCACCTGCACCTTGTGGTCATCTTTTGATTTTGGATAGGGGACAAGGTTGTGTGGACCTGTACAAGTCTTCTTATCATCACCACCTGCACCTTGTGGTCATCTTTTGATTTTGGATAGGGGACAAGGTTGTGTGGACCTGTACAAGTCTTCTTATCATCACCACCTGCACCTTGTCATCTTTTGATTTTGGATAGGGGACAAGGCTGCGTGGACCTGTACGAGTCCTCACATCATCACCATCTGCACTTTGTTGTCATCTTTTGATGTTGGATAGGGGACAAGGTTGCGTGGACCTGTACGAGTCCTCACATCATCATCAGCTGCACTGTGTGGTCATCTTTTGTTTTAGAGAGGGAAAATGTTGCGTGGACCTATGCAAGTCCACAAAGTGTCTTCACACCTACATGTACATGTACATGTACATTGTGTGGAAGACTTAAGTTCACACACTGCACAAGGAGTACCATGCTTTTTCAACCATGTATACACGTGTTCACAATTAAAAGCATTGCTGATATCGTAGTTGCATGAAGGTTTGTCAAAACTTTCTCAGCGTTTTTACCCTTCACCCAAAAAGCACGAGTAATGATATTGAAATGGGTGAAGTGTGAGACTGGGTTAAAAGTGAGAGGCATACCTAAGCACTACTGATAGCTCATTTTTATCTGTTCAGTGTAAGTAAAGTGTATGTCACGCAGCCCAGTCCGTAGTCCTCAAGTGGGTTAAGTCAAATGCCAAACTCCATCTTTGAGCAGTAAAAAATCAGAACGGTGTGTCAGGGGTGAGATTAGAGGACAGTGAAATGTCCCTCAAATAATCACCAGAGCCTTAGGGCCTGCAGCAGCTTGTGTTTGCCTAAAGGTAATCCCTGGAACTTTCATACTTTCCCTGGAAATATCTATTCCTTGTTTGGGTTTTTTTTTGTACCAACATTTATACATGAGAACACCTTTATAGTAAACTCGGGTTTTGCCAGATTTAAAAAAAAGGATCATTTTTTTAAAATCCTGATGAAAAGATCCTGAAATCAGGAAAGAAGATCCTGACATGTCTCACCCCAGCTACATTGTATGTCCAAATCACTTGTATACGGGCCGCATCCAGCACACACACATGTAGGCCCTAGGAAGGCTGTGGCCAGCCCACACAGAAGTATGCATTATTGCTTGCCCTAGCCAAGCAATTCAGACGCGGCTGAATATGCCGAACCCATTGGACCTCCCACGACTGTGTTTTAGCCAATCTGGAGGAAGAATCACTCATTGTGCGTTCACATACAGTGAATGATTGAAATGTCTTACCAGTACAGCCGGTTTCAGCCATACAGGCCCTCAACTGATTGCATCTTTGGTTGTTTATTTATTCATCGGCAGAGATTGGATTTGAAAATCAAGACCTTACCACTTGAACACCAGTCAGAGGCATCAATATACATGTAAAGGTGAGTCAAGTAAGCATTACTTGTACATACACACATGTCTTTGTAGTTTTATCTGATTTCTTCATTCTGGGAAATGTCTTGATTGTCACTTGAAGCTGACTTTCTTTTTATCCTCTCATCGCAAAAAAATACTCACGCCAAGTCATCTGTAATGAAAACAAAAAAAATGAGAAGAAGCCAGCATTCGCAGTGCTACCTGTACTTGGCTTTGTTCCTTAACAGAAAAAGATCAACTTGAAAAAGTCAAAACAAGAACTGACATCAATGCCAGTTGCACATTTGCGAGCCAAAGAGTTCGATTGATTTCAACGTTCCCAATTCGGCCCTCGTCTGACCACCCATCATCCCTGGCCAGTTTACACTTGTCCCTGTCCAGAATTTACAACCCAACTCGCCCACATCTGTGTTTTGGAACACCTTACAATACACAATGTAGTCATCCCAAGCGGTTGGCTAATACCCAAATCCCTGGTTTGTTTTTATCCGCCTTGCATATGGGATGCCTTCACCGAGGCAAGAACACAGCCTAGCCAGGCCAAGATTACCAACAGCCACCAACTTCCTCCCCCCCCCCACCACTTCCTGGTGGGGCTATAAATACCCCCAATTTTGTTAGCTCCAAATCTTCCCCTCCATTGACAACTCAACCTCCTCTCCCCTGCACTGTAAATGGTCCGTCCCAGTAGCTTGGTCCTCTGTTGGCACCCCTTGGGTTCAGCAGGGCTTGGAGCTGAAGTTTGAGTGCTATGAGTGAGCCTGTTTTTAATAGGAAATATTTTAATAGAAAAAATATTTGAACATTTGCGTCCAAGGGGGCCACTTTTTAGGTCATGTAAAAGAAATGAAGCAGTTTCTGGTCTCCCATTTTGCTCCTTTTTTTCCCCCTCTGCCCACTTCTTTCAATGAACGTGTACTTTGTTTTTCATTTGTTTCTGAAAAAAATGTTTAGCTACTGGTGTAAAAAGGCAAGTTTAAAGCCTGTTAAATATGAGAAATCTGTTAGGCACAAAAAATCATTCTTTCTAAACAGAAAGTCATAAATATCCACTTGCTATCTTGGACAAATTTGCCATCTTTAAAAAAGGACCATCGCCTCCCGTCTAAAGAAAACCCTTGTCAACAACATTTCTTTCTTTGTCTTGCAACTTTAAGTATAATTATCCACATTTCAATGACTATTTGTATTACCATTTTTAGAATAATGTTGCATTTCTTGGTTTAGCAGAAATCAAATTGGCATCCCCAAGTTGTCAGCATTTTGTGACCAACCACATGTTCTATCCGTGACTTCCTCATCTGATGAACGTATAAACAAATTACCTCTAATTGCATCATTAGAAAGTAAAACAGTTTGAATTTTTTGATAAATACATGGATTTGGGGGGGCGGTATTTAAGAATCATGTTTGCCGTTTTGACAGGTGCCCCTCAGTTTCAGCTTTTTAACACCAGTGCAACGTTGTGTAATTCAGATTCTAATCATAAAAAAAAAAACCACCAATTACAAGGGCAAGGTCTGAGAATAATGCAGGCCTGTTCATCCGCGACTTGGCTGCCTTTCAATCCAGCAGTCAATTCGCTGGCTGGGAGCACAGGTTGTTCCTGCATTCCAGTGTGGGTGTGCTCAGAGAAGCTGCATGAGTGCCCCTCCTGTGCGTTAGCACTGCTTAATTTGTTGGCCGAGGGGACATTCCCTCAGTCGTGATATCTTATCCCCCCACCCTGGCAAAATGGAACAGGCCTTTGGGTTGTTGGGTTTTTCTTTGCTTTTTGTGCTGTGGCCAGCCAGGGAGGGATAGTCAATGTGACATTGTATTTAGTGTGCGTGTGTGTGTGCACAGCCTGATGGTGAAATAATATTTCTTAATCGTGCAGGGTCGGATACACATGCATGTGCTGGGGATGGTTTAAACCGTGGTGAAGCCTAGGGGGACACCAGACTAGCATGCGAGCTTGAGCGTTTGGACTGGTGCTGAGCCCCCTCGGATTACTTCGATGCCTGGCTTGTGAACAAACTGGGTCACGTCGCACCGAGGACCAGCTATATTTACCGGGGGCCCCTACAGAACACAACTCGGCTGGCCCCGACTGGGTACTGAAGCAGACGACGCAGGCTCGGCTACCTCGTTTTTGAACTTGGAGACGTCAATTGACTGGTTGAGTGAACTGTACAGGCAGTACAGGCAGGCTGTGGCAGGCTGATCAAACGCAGGTTTTCCTCGCAATTTACGGTTGCCAAGGCAGCATTGTTTCCCATTCTCCCCAGAACTGACCTCTGTCTTATCATTATTATGAATGAATGCGACGTCTCTCTCACTGCTGTTATTAAGAGGTGAGTGTTTTTGTTTCTTTTTTTTTTAGATTTCCCCCCCTCTAATCACTTCTATAAACAAAAAATAATGCAATTGTGGAATCCTTGATGACTGGCATGACAGGTTTTCCTGTTTGGTGTTACAGTTGACGTGACCCCTTTGCGAGTTCAGGCTTGCAATGACTTGCTCTGAGTAATTGATTAATTGATTGATTGATTGATCAGCCATCCTTGTTTAGTCTGAGGGATAGCCGATCAGGGATGGAAGTGGGTTCTTGGGTTCCTCGGTTTGCCGGTGATGTAAACAGTCATCTCAACTAACAGCTACAAAGAAAACGGATGGGCTGAGAGAGTTTTATTTATATTAGGATCCAGAAACTACGTAGTTGTGTCATTGGCCATGAAGTACTGGTATTGACAGTGTCATTGTACTTTGGCCTGTGTACCCTTGGCATTTGTCAATGCGAGGCCCTGTCACATTATCCAAACTTCGGAACTGGGTCAGAGAGAAAGCTATTGGCAACCTCTTTTTCACACCACCAAGAATGTAACATATGTAGCTTCCACACGGCTGTCTGTCTCGATCTGCCTCACGGTGAATCTGTGTTCAAGACGGGTGCATAAAAGCAGGGTAGAGACTTCATTCTTGGAGGAGCAAGGCAATTTCTCCTTTACAAAGGCCACTTGTATCAGAAAATCAACTTGCCTTTGGGAACATATCAGTGGGCATTGAGGCAAAGACCAGGTGCATCAAGGCACTTGCCGTCAAATGTCCACTGCGTGGTCAGAACAAATTCTGCAATTAAACGGATAGTTGTTTCCTAGAGCTGTCAGTGTGAACTGCAGAGTTGGCACCCAGGAAAGATGCTGTAACAATTCCTCATAAATTGTTGTTTAATCCGCGCATTGAGTGTTTGTTTAGTTACATTCTGTGACGCAGATGCTGAAGCACAAGTCCTGTTGAGTTGACTTTTCTGTACATACAGTACATGATTGAACATGGGACAGGTTTCATTCTGACAAGACTGGTATGATGGTTACATTGAAAGTCAGGTCTGCCTCGTGGAAAATTGACTTTTTCGAAAATGTCATCTGGACATGTTTGGTTTTCAAATCCCTGAGATTTGACACTTTCTTACTGATGTCATATTTGCCTCTTATTCCTAAAAACCCTAAAAAGATTTGTTAGCCATATGCTTCAGTGGGAACATTGACTTTGATGATACATCTGAAAATTTATATTTATACAATGTATAATTTTTATTGTAATGTGTAATGGCAGGAACCATTTGGACAAGAAATGTGGCCGTCTGTCAACTCTGAATTCCGAGCAGTAGCATGTCCATGGTGTTTGCATGGCCTTGCCAGAGAAGTCTAGTCTCTCTCCCCCCTCTAAAATAGTTCCTTTCCAATTGTCCTTGGCCAGTTCAATTGGTTTGGGATATATTCCTCTTGGGATATCAACCCCAGGGTCACCAGACTGATCCATTATCCAGCCAGGAGGGTGAAGAGGGAGGAGCGGGAGAGACTAGGGCTCCCCATTCATGCTGTGGGTCAAGGGAGGGTTTGGTGATGGGGCAACAGCTTTGTTGAGGGTCCTGGCTTTACAGAGCAGAACTTCAGAGGGGATCGCGTTCTCCTGTTTTCCCGATTCTGGCCTGACTTGGCTCTTCTCACCATTTAGTGCTGGATATTGGTCCAGATTAGCTGTTAGTGGAGTGGGGGGGGAGGGGAGGAATGAACTTTTGAGTCTGAAAGTTGCTAAGGCAAATTTTGTTTCTAAGGAGTGTGGGTCCTCGAGTTCTTTCTGTGTTAGACAGCAACTATTGCAGTCTGTACACTGTTTATCCTGGGCATGCACGTTGATCCTTCCTGATCCTTCCAGTAAAAACCAGGCGATTGGCAGGAATTTTGCAGGATTATGGCAGGTGGGGTAGGGCTACCGTATTACTGTGGAAGGCCCGGTGTACTCTTACATCTGATTCTGAGCCAATGAGCTCAGCCGATTGTGCTTTTTGGTAAGTTATCGTTGGTTTCAAAGTCCATGTATCCTGGTCTGTGTTTGAGCAGGTCGGACAGAAGGTTGTTGGTTACCAACTCTCATTGCTATGTTCCTTTTTTTTTTTTGGTCTGATGGGAGTTGTCTCTTGTTTGCATTGAGAAGTTGAGGGAGATATCTGTCGTTCTTCTTTGTCTCTCTCGTATATGTAGACATGAGCTGATGTGAGGTGAGCGATAGCTACCTGACGTGCATACGGGTCCAATAGTCAGCAGGTTGTTTTTTTTTTTCTGTGAGCAGCTTCGATAAGGGGGCTTTATAATGTGTGTGGTTAATTGTAAGACACAGGCCTTGGATCCGCACTCGCTTTGCAGATTTTTGTTAGCAAGGAAACTTCCTGCATTGTCCGATATCCACCACTTTGCAGGACTCCAAAGGCATTCTCTTTGCTCTGTGACTGCGAAGGGGCATCAAGGGCTGTTCATTCCCTGTGTGCTGCACGTTCCACACGTTCATGTTGTGTGTCGTTAATTTATCTCTGTACCATAAAGCTTAACAAAATTCAAAATGGAGTCGGAGAAGATACAATTGGCAGTAAAACCGCCATAGAGGTACCAGGGATGAGCGTCGTTAAACCTGAACATCTGCAAGCTTTCAACAGTGTCCTCAAGAGCAAGGATACATTCATGGGTACACGAACAGTCAAAATTCATCAGTATGCGTCCTGACTGTTATGCGCCGGCCTGCACATTGTCATTACTTCAATTATGCCATGTAATTACATCGTGTAATTACCAGCTAAAGCAAAACTATTTAAAAAAAAAAAAATACAATGATCTGTTTTTATTTCAAGTCACAATTAACCCAGGTGAGCGTACTGATTGTTAAACTTCACCAGATCTGCAAATATACTCCAACGCATGAAGGCGAAATTCCCTTTTAACTAGCGGGTGAATCCCTTCATTTGCATACGGTAGCTTTGTGCCGTTGGGTCTCAGCACAGAAAGCATTTGCAGTGTATTGCACTGCACACACACACTGATACATGTACACGCATGAATATGGTTTGGGAACATATTTGCCAGGTCCTTAGAACTTGAAACTCAGCCAGTGATGTTAACATATTTTGCAGTTGTGCTGACGGATCGACTGAAGTTTGCCAACAGAACACGACTATCTAATGACTTGTCACCAAGTGAATTTCCCACATTTGCAATATTCAAGTTCAAGGTAACAGGTGTACATGTACATGTACCCGGTACATAAGAAAGTGTGCAGGATACATGGCCATTAAAACCCTCCAACTAGCTGAGATGATTTTAGGAAGATAAGTGACTGGGTCCAATGTTGAGAGGCCAGAATGACGTAACACCCAAAGTAGCAGTGCTGTTGGATACTTGTCCTTTCTAAATATTATTATTCATTTGAAGGGAAGTTTCAGTCTGATTTGGAGATAAACATTGTTAGAATCATGCACTCAAAGCTTTGAAATTGCCAAGGTCTCTCACCATGCGAAGCTGCATCAAGTGTACATGTAGGTCAATTACCAAGGGAAAAAAATCTGAAATGGTGTCAATCAGATTACTCTCCGCTTCTCCACTTCTCCAAACCCTAGGAGACTGAGGGTGGGGGGAGGGGTGGGGAGCAGTGCATCTTTGGAGGCATTGTGATTGGACAATTGAAGTGTGTTGGAGACCCCAGAGGCATCCTGCCTTAACTTGCACGCCGGTTGCTGATTTGTTGGAAGCCGTCCAAGAAAACCAAACCTAAGAATAGGGCTTGTAGAAGGAGTTTTCAGGAGTGCCGTTATTGCAGCCTCTGAGCACTCTCTGTGTGTCGAACACTTGCCCACAGGAAACAGCGCACCCACTCCTTGTAAGTTTAGGGCTTATTCCTAAAAGCCAATTTGTATTGTTAAACAGTGCACACTTTTGAAGTCTATACGCATAAATAGAATGGTTACCATGGTTACCAAGCTCATTGCTGTAGAGGCTCAGTTGGGTTGTAATTGAGCAATGAAACGGGTAAAATGTATTGTCAGACCTGGACGTGTTGTCTGCCCTCTGGACTGGACAATTGGCTTTGCCGCCTTTAAAAAATAAGGGAGTGGGGGAAGTTGTGCCGAATTGTACAAATTATGTTGTTGTAATGGCAATCACGTTCACCCGCAGAAAATGTCTACTGGGTGTGGCTAAACATCGAAATTTCTCATTGGACATCAGATGGTTGGATATCATCATGATGCCCTCGCAGGGGACTAATGTGAACGGCAGTCCATAAAAGCTGTGATTTTTGGAGGCAAATTGTATTTCATTCTGGGTCAAAATGGACCACTTACAGAATCTGATACATAATAAAAATGGACGTCATTTGTTGTGTGTCGTTCCCCCCCCCACAAGTTTTACTTGCACCAACAGTACATGTATGTTCTTACCCACCAATTTTTATATCAGTCAGACCCCGCCTTACAGAAAAGAACACCTTTTCCGGAGACTACAGAAAAGCCCAAAATTCCACCTGTCACCTTGGAGACATGTCAGTGAGTTCAAATTGAGGGCTGTTTGACATTCATCCCATTGTTTATCAGTAGCTTCCTCTTCGGGTAGATTCCTTCACTGCTGTGACATTTGCAGTTAAAAATTTGGAACTGCATTGTGAATTTAAATTGTTGCAAATTGCGTCGGCCACCGAGGTGCAAAATTTGAAGCTGCGTGAGTGGAGTTTTGCCCTCCGTCATACCGTTGATGTTGACTTTGGCCGTTGATACAGACGGCCCACTTTCTGTCGAGCAAACAGTTTGCCCAGGATTTACATCATCACCTCGGCGAGCGAGGCAGGCAGTGCAAAGGGAGTGCAAAAACAGAGGGCCGATGGGGGGGAGGGTTAAGGTACTTGGCACGGTGCCACTCAGTGTGCCCATCCTGCAACCGGGTGGGGGTCATTATCAGCGTCATCGGTGTTCATCTTCGTCGCTCATCGCCTCACCTGAACGCAGGTGCTGTCGTCGCGCCTGGCTGGCATA